ATTTAAAAAAATAAATAAAAATAAATATTCAATTAAATTAAGTAAAGTAAAATAATAATTTAAAAAATTAATTTAATTAAATAAAAGTTAAACTAAATAAAGTAAAACAGTAAAATTTAATCAAATTAAACAATTAAATATTAAAAATGTTAAAATAAATAAAGTAAGATTCAATAAATAAAATTGAAATAAATAAATAAATAAATAAATTATATTTTTTAATCATACTGACACTGACAGCTCCAATAGAGATAGAGATGTTGCACAATCAGCTGAAATGCTGCTAGAATTGGTGTTTATGTACGGCCGATATATATTGCATCACCAAAAATGCTTGAGCTCATGTCTGTGTGCAGTGTGTTTAGTCCATATATTGATTATAGTGACAGGACGCTCTCATTGGTATCATTAATAACTCTTTATATCTGCTTTGACCTAAATTCGGTTTAATAAAACAATGCAAAGACAATCACTGTAAAAACAGAAACAAACAGGGTTTAAATAAGGTTTTTCAATCTGAAAGTGTCTGACATATAAAACCGTAACTGACAGGCTGTTGCTGTTTTTCCTTCCATTTTTGGGAGGAAAAATAAATCAGGCAGCGCCGGGAATACACTGGAGACGAGAGAGAAACCAATGAGAGACGAGACGCTGAAAAAAACAGGCATGATGGGAAATCAAACACCCTCCCAAAGTGTCACTGCTGTAAAATATGCTGTTTGACTTCATGATTCAACAGTTGCAGTGATATTTGTGTGTGTTTCTGCCTCAGTTTATAACAGATCAAGGCACTGTACATATACATATATACAGTTGAAGGCTGAATTATGAGCCCCCCGTATATATTTTTCCCCAATTTCTGTTTAACGAAGAGAAGACTTTATTAACACATTTCCAATCATAATAGTGTTAATAACTCATCTCTAACAACTGATTTATTTTCTCTTTGCCATGATTGCAGCACATAATATTAGACTGGAATTTCTTCAAGACACTAGTGTTTAGCTTAAGTGACATTTAAAGGCTTCACTAGGGTAAGTTAGGGTAATTAGGCAAGTCATTGTATAACAGTGGTTTATTCTGTAGATAATCCAAAACTAACATTGCTTAAGAGGGCTATAGAAAAAATATGTATACATTCCTAATGTTTAGGTCTCAAAACAACAGTTTCCTCCATCTG